CGCTGACCGGCGCCTGTGGCCGGCGCCTTTTTATCGACGCGACTTTTGCCGCGCTGAGTATAAACACATGAGATTTTTATCTTACATGTACGCTGCGAAGCACAATCATAGTTCCACCCATGAATCTCACAAAATCCCGTCTTACACGACGTTTTCAAAAATGCCCCCATACAAAAAATGTGGTAATTACCAATACCAATTCGCATGCCAACACAAACACTAACTTGGAAAAAAATTTTTTTTTTCGTCAATTTTTTCAAAAATGGTCGTTCTGACAACGCAGCAAAATGATAGTTCCACCGAACAAATCGAATATCCAACAACAAGTGTACAATAAAATGAATAAATTTTGATCCAGTAATCTATTGGAACTCTATTTCTCCAATTAAGTTGGAAAATACGGTTGCCCATGTTCGATTAGAGATTTTAATAGGCTTTCGGCTGACTGCACCAATGATTAACTCCCTAAGCTCACGGACATTGTGGAATTGTGCATTGTTCGCATGGATCATACGCACCATGAAGCCCCTCACATCCTCGATTGGGTTTTAGTCGGGGCTACTCGCTGGCCAGGGCAAAAGAGCGGTTTGGTGACGAACTGAATCACGCTCGAGTGCTTCGACTGTCATGAACTGGTGCATTATCCTGCATGAAAACGGACTTTCTTGCTGATTTCTACGCCAGAAAGGAAGGAGACGTCGTCGCATGACTTTTAGATAGACGGAAGAAATTTTTTTTTCATACGGAGCAGTTTCAGACGTTCCATTGATGCGATGGCAGCCCAGACCATGAGACCACATCCACTGAAGTTCCGCCCGGAAAAATGAAACTTGTCTTTCCTCAGGTCGTGCCAGCGGAATCGGTTTTCGTCGGAGCCGTCGCAGTTGAATTTTTTCTCATCAGAAAAAAACTGAAAAAAAACTACACAGACAAGCAGTAGGGCACCGCAGCCAAAAGCTAACCTCACTCCATTGGTTCGGCAACATCTTCGAGCAAAGCCAATTAGGTTTTCGCGATGGTTTTTTGTTAGAAACAGTGCCTAACTCATATTCCTCCTGTAGGTGAACTCAGGAGTTTTTCAAGACACGCCTAACAGTATCCTTCGAGACATTAACCTCCGGAGATGACTTAATTTCCCGACACGACACTGCAGTTGGATGCTTTCCTCAGGATACGGCGCTTATTCCGATCGGGCAGCAAAGGAGGATGTCCAGAGCTCTTCTCAACTCAATATCCTGTAGGTCCCTTGGAAAAAATTGTTGATAGCATGATGAGTGCGGCCCGAATCCCGCGCGATTCGACGGTTCGACAGTTTTTGAGTCTTCTTTGCGATAATCTGTCCTTTTTCGAGGTCCATCAATGAACTTCCACTTACGATAGCCTAGAATAGGCGAGGTCGTCATAATGATAAGAAGTTTTACTCAACAAAAATTAGATGCAGCGGAAAATATGCGGTGGAACTATCATTTTGCTGCATTGTCAGGAAAGACCATTTTTCAAAAAATGAACGAAAAAATATTGTCCTTTCAAGTTAGTCTTTTGGTGTTGGCATGCGAACTGGTATTGGTAAGACATTTTTTTTGTATGGGAGCATTTTTGAAAACGTCGTGTGAGATGGGATTCTTGTGAGATTCATGGGTGGAACTATTATTATGCTTCGCAGTGTATAATATGGAAATATTGTACACACATCTTATCATGCATCTCTCTCAAAAATGATAAGCCGAAAAATGCGAAAATAGCCAAAAAGCTTGATAAAATTAAGAAATGTTGAAAAATTGACGCAATTAGCTGATAAGCTGTTCAACCACATCATTTTACAAATTTTCGGTCGTAACCAGAATTTTGGTTTTATTGGCAATTGGCGAATCAAACAAAGGATGTGATATGATGGTATGGTAGATGTATGATGTCTCTTCTACAAAAATTTTATATTAATCTAGTAGGGAAACCTCAACTCAAGAACGCATTCAACACTCAGAGCTCATTATCTTACCACTGGATTTCTCCAAAACACACGCATTATTGATCTGAGCAAACGACAACGTTTATTTTCAGGTGCCTGGATCAATTTCCCGAACCAACGAATTCTATCTTAGCGACTCCGACACAGAAGGCTTGACTATGTTGCAGAAACCTGATTTCCAGGTGACTTGACAGCATTACTTTTGTAGAAACTTCCTCACCAGGAGATTACTGTTGTCACGTATACTGTAAATTTTTTATAATTATTATAAGATCAGCACTAAACGGCTGAATTATGACACAATTATGGCACCGTAAACGTGCCCTTTTTGTCATGGGAGAATCCATTAGCACCTATTGACAAAGAATAGGGTAACATGCAACAATTAAAATTGTAGTGGCCTTCAGTGGATTTTCTCTCTAATAACTGTGGTACTAATTTGATGATGTCGAAGGGGTGGGAGCGATTATCCTGAGCAAGATATGATCTGAGATCTGATTCACGGGCTTATCAAGGTGAAAGCGTTGCGTGTTAGCACTCCAGTGTGGTTCTGTGAAAAGTGTGGCACTGTTGCAGCTATCTTTCCCTGCACCCTTCTCCTAGCCGTCTATTGGCTTTTTCAAATGATTAACGCGCCATTCTTGCGCAAAACGTCTACACTGACACGATTATTCTCATAGAATTTCAGATTATGAAAAAGCCCAAAAAGAAGGACAAGAAAGAGAGAAGCTCGAAAAAAGGCTCGCAGCCACGAAATGGACACAACGATAGCTCACAACAAGGGCACCAGTCAAAAATGGTACTGGTAACCTCATTTTTGTTAACTTCTTCTTTCACTTATATAAAGGGATAAAGGATAAAGCCTTCGCCGTTAATCAATCCCTTTGTGGGATGCGGCACGCATTCTACTTTCATTCAGAGTCGTAGTGGCTTAATGAATACGATATGGCCTACTCACAGAGACTTGTGGGGGATAGCTGATGTACAAGTCAGTGTTCTTATCCTCCCAGACAAATCTGGATACCAATTTACCGTCCCCTGAGGGTAGAAGGCTTGGTTGGCCTGGGCGGGTGTCGACCTGCACCTTTTCCAATGAAGCTACCTTTGTAGCGCTCTATCAAGCTGCAACATACCGATCCGGATGCCCATCGCTTCCGCCCGCCCACAAATGGACGACCGATGCTGATGCTCGTATCGCTTCATTATCATTGGGAAACTCGTCTAAAACCGTTTTCTTAGTCTTGTAGAGCAAAGGCTTCTTTTCACAGTTTTTTTGACCGTTTCACTTCGCTTTTTCGCCACTTTACCACTATATAGCACCCTTGCTACCATTTCAGACCGAGTATCAAATTATCGAGCCTTATGCCTTCAAAGACCAGTCTCGCGATTGCATGCTTTGGGGGTGGTGTTCTTTACAAACCAGTAGCTTGCTGAGTCTCTAGTAATTTTGTGGCATTCCTCACTAACTTTTCGTAATTTCCAAATGCTCCAACAAACATCTAGCAAACATTTCATATAACTATGTATAACTATTTCATATAACTCGCCTTTATAAACGCCTTTATTTACATAATTCAGCGATATAAAGAAGCGTGCAAATGTCAGGATATCCGAAATGATCCGAAGTTGAAGACAAAAGTATGCATTATTTTGTAGACTCGTTTTGTAAAAATTTGTAGAAGTTCATCGTGTATACGTGACTCGATTTCATGTAACTATTGAATGTGGACCCTGAATTCGTTCAGTGCTATTGTGCTTGGAAATACAAGCACCTTTCGTACGTCGAGTGTGGAATTGTACTCTCACAATAAAATTTCAGATGTTTGTTTTTGAAGAACCTTATCAAGATGAACCCTCAATCAAAGGAACGATTTTGTTCTTCGAAGTCCAAGCACGTCATCACGAAATATTGGAAAACACAAGGAAGTGCGCGAGTAGCTGCGCTTTCGAACTGTTCAGCAACCATAAACAGTGTATCACGTTCTGTTTTAGCAGCGATCGTCACAACTCTGACAGACTATGTACTTCACGTCCGGGATTCGATCTTGTTGCATGGGAGGTGACAGGGTGCGCTGCAGTAGCAGCCTTTTTTTCGCTCAGAACAGCACGGAAACGAGGCTAAAGAGTAATGATACCCTAGAGCAGCCATAGGCCTAACCGCAGCTGAACGTGTTACCTGTCCGTGCCCTTTCACTTCTGCTTCCTCTACAGAGAAGTATGTGTTTTCAATGACCTGGACGCGTACACGTTTGGAGACGATACTAACCATCCAGAATGGCGAGTCGGAGTTCTTCAAAGGCAGACTTGACGATAGGCCAGCGGAAAGGGTGGCGTGGTTGAGAAACAGAATTCTATGTACTAACTAAGTCGCTCGTGAAGGAAAAAGCGAACGAAATCGTCAAGAAGGCTTCAAATAAGGCCCTACTCGTGCCTCTCGCATTGCAAACAACCAATGTGGATGTCGTGAGAGAAGCAAGAAAAGACAGCGAGAGAGCATGCAAACGAAAGAGAGCGTAAAGAAGACATCTATAAACTTGGGCGAAGTCACTTGAGCAACCTTGGGCCTTGCCGCCGCTTCCTTGCCACTTTCTGACGTAAAACTTATACAGGGTTGTTCGCTGCAGCTCCCACTACATATCTATCCAAAGAAACGTTGAGCTACATATATTAGAGGAGATTCTATGCTCTGCCTTCAATATATGTCTGAGTCTGGACAACATGAGTAGGTTCCAGCAAAGGATGAGCGAGTGTTGCGACTGGCTTTGTTTTCTTAGCCTTGTCTGTAGAATGTCCTTAGCATGAGAGTAGTCAGTGAAAGCCGCTAGCGATCTCAGCGAAGAGCAAACGAAGTCAGGCCTACGCGTTTCAGGGAACAAAGACGCAGTTATTCACGGTGTAAGTTGGTGTGCTGTATCTGATAAAGGCGAATGGTTGCACGTCACACGTTTCTGGCACCTTTATCTTGCACTGCAAGTGGCACATTGTCGCCAGTAAATTTCGCGGAAGCGTATCCCATATCACTTGATTGCGGAATGTGTCTCCAAAAGTCCGCATCCTCATCCTAATGAATGAACTTCAGGAACAAGGACGATTTAGGGGTACTCAAATTCCAATCAATAATTTATATTACTTACAAACACATCGCAAGGAGTTGATTCATAATCATTGCTCTTAGGCAGCGTTCATACTTCGCGACAGCAGCGGCGATCGCCGAGGTCGCCGCGATCGCCGCTGCTGTCGCGAAGTATGAACGCTGCCTCAAAGCAAAGGCTTTGTTGTTCAATTTTTACATGCTGTGCCATCGAATCGACTCCGGTTACGAAGCTGTCACCACTGTTCCTCTGTGCGTTTCGTAGGCTCTTGCTATGTCTGATACTCGATGACGACTGTCGTTGTTCTTGGTGTCCAAACGATTTTTGATAAAATGGCGTGGTGAGAAGATATACTTTCTTGTATTCGAGTTGAATAGTACCATGATCAGCCTGAACCATAACTACATAACAGATGGAAGCTCATATTCAGAGGCGCAGTTTATAATTCTCTGGTAAAGCCTACCATCGCACCATTATCTTTGGCGCCAGTTTTTTTTTCACCGTTTAAAAAGGAGCGTGCACCAATGAGGAAGGTATAGGCTATAACGCAGTCAGTCGGAGGCGGTCGACGAGGGCGGGATGAGCTTACCTGCGGCTGTTTTGCTCTAGCAATGGTGATCGGCTGAGATCGATCTAGGAAGAAAGCAACCAGTGGTGGCAATCCACTGAGAACTGAGCCGACCGAGAGCCGTCGGACAAAACTTCCGCTGCTCTAGGACCGCTAAGCGGTAGTGGACACTGCCTCAAGATTCATTGCGTTGATGTTTCATACGGTATTGCAAAGGGAACACAGCAGGTTACTGAAGGCATTCTCACAAATCCAACTTCAATTCAAGAGCGTGTTACTAATACGACGGTGGAAATTGTACAGTAGCATATGGTGGCACATATCGCTTGGAAGTCAGTTCTCCATGGTGTCTCTTTTGGGAAAGTCAAGCTCTGGGAGGTTAGTTACATTTTCGAATAATCTCCAGCTTCTCTTCTGTAACCTCG